CGCCCGCCCCCCGTGCCTTCACGTGATCATCATCCGTGCCTTGCTGGCTCCGGCCGGCTCCGCGTGGGCACTGCCTGGAGCCTTGCCTGAAAAATATAGCTGCACAAGAGCGCTGCAAACTGCAAGCAGCTCCCTGGGCTTGTTTTATTTTTTTATTTTTTCGTGCTACCACACAGCGCGATATTTTTCTCCGGGGCCTTTTAAAGCAGAAAGCGCGCCGCTCGCATGTGAGAGAAGCTGCAGTTTGCACCCGCTATATTTAGAAAGCCAGGATGTCATACCTCCCCTCGAAATTTTCATAGTCCCCTGCACCCCACCCACCCGCAAGCAGACGGGCATGCTTGTTGTCTGGAAAATGTTTTTCGGTATTAGCACAGGGTGTTGGCTTAGGGGGATTCGAGGGAGGCGCCGAGGAACAACAGCAAAGCAGTCCTCGAGCGAGCCGCCCCGAGCTGCCTTAAGGGAGCTCCCAGCCGGGACCCTGCTGAAGCCGGACCGTATCTGCAGCGCCCTGGTGCAGCCCCGCTGCTCTCAAGGGTCTCTCCCTCTGCCTCCCCGAAATTTAACTCCTGAGCCAGGGCCAAGCATTTAGGACAGTTATCAAAGCCCTTGGACGTTTTATATTCAGCGAACTTCTTTTTCCTGCGCTCATCTTTACAAAGCTGTGCTTAGAGGAGCGCAGGCTTGCTCACACCTGCTGCCAGGTCCCCAGGAACACGCGTTCTGGTGCAGGCTCATGCCAAGCCTATGCGGTTACCATGTCAGTGATTTTTGCTTTTTGCTTCCTCCTGTAATCACTAATCAGTAGCGTTTATCCTCTGCTAAATTGGCTCTGTAGTGAAATATTATAAACAACGATTGCATCTACAAAGAGTGGGGTGCATTTTTCTTTCGGTTTTGGTACCCGATTTTCATGCTTTTGTCCAAGGAAACAGTTGAAAGTCTCATCTAAACTTTAAATATGCTTTTGGGGAGGGCAGGGATTTTTTTTTTTAAGCAAACACGGGTAATGCATATATCATTTGTTAATATAATGCTTTCATGTTCCACAAAGCCGTCTTTGCATTAGCGCGCGGCTATTAAACTGTGCTTAAAGTGACTGACTGCAGAGAGCTCAGGGTGCCGAGAGACGTCGAGACTCACAAATGGCTGCCTGCTTCACAAAACGGGCTCTCGGCAGGCGAAGGCTGATGCGCGTTGGCACCCCGCTACACCTGCCCCGGGCCCCGGGCCGGCCCGTTGGGCGGATGTCAGGAGGCGAGGGTGCTGTACGTGAGCGGGCGCGGGGACGGGAGGACGAGCCACAGAAGGCGATTTGAATACGCACTGATCCTTCAGTCAAATGTAGCGTGAATGACGAGCACTGGGCTGACCTCCAGTTACGGGAGACATAGAGAGTGACACCGGCAGAGGCGTTAAGAGCCCTGACTGTCCTGGAAATGGCACGTTTGAGCAAGGCAGGTTTTTTAACCCCCTTTCACCCTCGGTGGCCACGCAGAGAGACCTCTGTTTTCAAATGGTCCAAAGCTGATGGAAGAAGCGCTGCGCCCGGCGGGCCACCCCAAGCTACATTACCTGTGCTGGTCACGGGGGACGTGGTTTGGTGGAAGAGCTTAAGGAACGACTGCGATGAAAACAGCTCAGCACTGACATGTGCACCTTGCGAACCCGAACCGAGGGGCAGCGCGCAAGTCGAGGGGAACCGAGGGAAGCTGGCCGGAGAGTGAAAGTTTCGTGTCGGGG